GCTCCTGCAGGCCAGCAGTAGCTGGCTGCAAAAATAATGGCATTGAGCACAGAGGCCATAGCAGCCTTTACTCAAGTGCCTTGCAAGGGTCAAGCGCCAGGGCCTCGGCCCTGCCGTGAGGGCAYGGGGAAGGTTTCTCCGCGCAGACAGGGCGCACCATGAGCCCGAGCTCAGCGGAGGAGCCGCTCTGCAGGAAGGGCTGGGGCGATGGAGGGCGCGAGGTCCACGGGAGCCCCCAGGCGCTGCAGCAGCGCGGRCCGCTGCGCAGCTGCATGGGGGAGCACGGCCAGCAGCCCGCGGGGTTGGTTTTCCTCTCAGCTCAGCACGGTGAGGCCAGACAGGCGTCTGGAAACACCAGGGAATGAAAAATAAAAAAGAGGGAAGGGTCCGCTCTGAGTTCAGATGCACGGGGGATGCGTGCTGGAGAAGAGGTTGCAGAAAGAGCTCTTCAAAACATTGCTAAAACGTGTTCTAAGGAAAAAAAATATCTAGCAATGTGAAAAAAAAAAAAAAAGAAAAAGCTAACAAAAGCCCGGGCATCTGAGCGCACAGCTGCACCACAGTGTCACCCAGCTGCCGTGAGCCTGCTGGCAAGCCAGCGAATGTGAGAAAAGGCAGCTTTTTGCAGGGGCGAGGGAACAAAAATGAAGAAAATGCTGATAAGAAGAATGCAACAAAAGAAAGAAAAGTTCCACACGCTTGACACAAAAGAGCCAGGCAACCCTTGGAGAGAATTAACATCTGAAAGTGAAAATAGGAGATCTTGGAGAAGCGGCAGAGCCCTGGCGCGCAGGCTGCGAGCGCGGGGCCCGGCGGGCTGCCGCRCCATGGAGGCCGATTCCTCCCTCTAGCGTCGCTTGGGCCGCGCTGCTCCCCGGCACCGCGGCACCGGGCAGCAGCCGAGCCGGGCTGGGGGTCCCGAAGCGCCGCGGGCTGGAGCTGCTCGAGGGACATGGGGCACGGGGGAGGATCGAGCTGAGCTGCTGCCTTGGCCGTGGGGAACGAATGGCCCCTGGGCAAACACASGTCAGGTTTGAGGATAGCAGGGCCTTACTCGCCTGAGATGGAGATATCTGGGACTGGAAACGTCTCTTTTTGAAGTGAAACTCAGGTGCTGGGGCATGGCTGTGATTCCGCAAGGGGGTCGCACCAAGCGGCACAGGCACCTGCAGGCGCCCAAGCCAACGGCGCCATCCCCTCTGCGGCCTGCGCAGGGCACCGGCCCCTCTCACACCCGGGAGCAGCTCCAGTAGGGCCCCAGCTCCAGGGGCACCTCAGCCCCGGAAAAACCATCAGCAAAATCTTCCTTTTTTTGTTATAAACTGTATCTAACATCTGCAAAGCGTCATGTGTCAAACACGAAACCCTCCTCCTCTGCACTTCGTCCCGTACGTGCTCCCCTGGAGGAGCTGCATTTTGGCTCCTCTCCTGTCACAGGGCCAGGTGACCTGGGGTCCCACGTGGGGGAGGAAAGTGAGGCGGCTGTAGGAGCAGGAATAAATATTTCATTGAAGAGAAACAGGCAAGTCCCCCTTTATCCCAGCATGGGCAGAGCGCCCAGCAGGACACGGGGAAGGTGCCCGGCTCAAGGAGGAGGATGAGCCAGGGTGGGAAGGTCGACAGCAGCAGAGAGAGGCCCAGGCTCCTGCTGGCCTGATATGGCCAGACTGCACTGCAAACAACCCCCAGGCCTGGGCATCTGGCACAGCACAGCTCCGATGGCAGAAAACAGAACAAAACAGCAACATCAGCAACAAAACCAACAAAGTTGTGGTTTTAAAGACTCCTCTCAAAGGAACCCTAACCCTTTGGCGAGGGCTCAGCACTGCCYGCCTGCCCCAGGCCCAGCTGCAAAGCAGAACCAAGAGCTGGGCAGAGAGGCCTCCCAAGGAGGAGCAAGTTTGCAAGGAGCTTCCCTGCCAGGGTAGCATCTGTTTTCCCTGAGATGTCGCCTGACGCATCCAGAGGCTCTTTGCACCCCTCACAAAGAGACTGCACAAAACACTGGACAAGGGCAGGCTGCGAACAGGGATCCTGCAGAGCGGCTCTCACCGGCAGCRCAGCCCAGGGCCCCCAGCCGCATCTGCCCAGCGCTGAACAGCAGGTAGGATAACCCAGACATTTACACTCTGTTAAGGCAATTTGCTTTAACTCAGCTGCTGTAATAAAGCCAATTCAAGCACCCACTGGCAGCTGCCAAGAGAGCTCCAGAGTTTTGTGATCAGCCAGGAAGCCTGTTCTTCTCCAGCTGCTGCCTTCGCTGAAGGTAAACGGTGCTCGTTACAAAGGACCACGGTCCCCAGTGCTGCTTGCTACTCGGAAGGGTGCTGTGAAAASACCCGCATGAAAGCTGCCTTTGCACCTTTCGCCAAGCCCAGTTTCGTGGATTCAGGAACGCTGAGAGCATTTGGGTTATGCTGCTCACTTTACTTGCTGGAGATACATATCAGACAAGCACTCACTACCCTAGGCAAGCAAGGCACTTGATAAATTCAGTTTCATTCAATAATGTAAATGTCAACACTTTGTAAAGAGTCTATGTATAAAATGTAAATATACTGCTGAAATACATCGCTGCAAGGTTTGTTTCTCTTCAGGTCCTGATTTACTTGCAGTTGGAATACACAAGATGCAGACAGGCCATGCTCTGTATACAAAACCTTTTTTTTTTTTTTTTTCTTTTTCTTTCCTAGTCATCATATAGGCTAAATATTCTCTGTTACAATCTCACTTGCGGGTTTTTACATAATAAATTTAYAAAATAAATATAAATTTTATATTTATTTTCCTGAGCTTCCTCTCCCAATTACACTGGGTAGCCTGGAGTTGATTGATACTCTCCCCATCTTCAGCTTCCGTAATGAAACATTAAAGGACATTGGAAGCTGAAGTTACTCTCTCTTCCCAGTGCCACTTCACTTCTCATTTCCTCCAGCAGGCATCGGTTAAAAATAAAATAGTGAGTTGAGTCCTGAGGGAAGTCCTGAGGGAAGTTGAAGAAGATTTGTCTATTAAAAACTGCATAGGCAAAAAGTCTGGCTTACCAGCCTCACAAAGCCAGTCTGGCCCAGAAACATATCATCTCAGTAGCACTCAGAAAAATCAAAATCGAATGTTTCTGTTTATTGAGAAAGGAAAATTAGTCTTGAGAATGAAAGAAAGACCACCTAGGATAGAGATTAAACAAACACGCAAGCAAATAAAAAGCGAGTTTGAGGCAGACCGAAGTCTGAAGCRCAGGCAGACACGTTGGAAAGGGATCAATCAATCTCTACCACAAGACTCAGGGGTCACCAAATCAGGGAACCAAGTTAGAAAACAAAATGAGCAGTTGTTTGGTTATTCAGGGGAAATCCTTTCCAAGGGCCAGTGAGATAAGTGTATGTGGATTCCAAAGAAAAGCGCCTGAGCGCATGGAAGAGTAGCTCCTCAGGCCTTACCAGGCAGACAAATTGCCCTAGGCTCAAAAGCCACCGAGCTCAAACCCTGCAGAAGACAAGTGAGAAATCCTATTTGTTTGACTGCTTTAATTTTCCCGAGCCCTTTTAGCGGACACCTCTGGAARGGGATTTAGCTGGAAGAGCTCTTGAGCTAAAGCTACTGCTTGTCAGCCTGGCAGAAGGCAAGGCCACCGCTGCACTTCCCCCTCTGCTAACCAGGACTAGATTAAAGCCCAAGCCTCCTAAAAACCCTGTGGAGGCAGAAGGGCCAGAGCGCCCTCAGGAACCGTTGTTTGCAGGCTGAGCTCCATTGTGTGGGCTCCAGTCAGGTGTGTTTTCACCTTGAAGAGCCTTAAAAAGAGCTCTTGAGGTTTCTCATGAATCAAATGCCTACCATCATACCCAAGCACTGGCAACCTCCATGTTAAACATTTTATTTTCAAAGATGGGCATAGAGCATGAGCTTTCCCAAGGCTCTTCCCTTGGCCATTGCCTCACTTCCTTAGATTTTATTGACTGGATTCCAATTCACTCTCGAATTCTATCACAAAGAAGCAACCGACCAAAACAACCCTTTGTGAGTAGGATACAGTTATAGGCCGAGTAGGTGTTTCCCAATTAAGAGGATGAATGAAGTTACTTGCAGACATATCTTAAAAGGTTCAGAAAAGGTTGTCCTTGATTTTTAGGTTTTCTTTTTCATGCTGCTGAGGGTTTTTTTTCCTGCTTTCGCAAAGCATTTGAGTAAGAGGGAAAGAGAACAGCTGCTGTGAGCAACAGAGGACATCTCTGTTCRGAAAGAGGGAAGGTCAGTGCCTACGCCCCATGCCAAGGAAGAATTCCTTGCTGAGTACGTCACGGAGCAGCCTATTCCCTATATTATACAGGCCTTCTTACTGCACTCTTCTTCAAATAACATAAAAATGAAAAGAAGCCATTAAAAAAGTGATTAATTGGGCGCGTTCACAGGAATTGTTTGCTTTTGTCATGAGTCAAAGAAACCCAGACTGACAGAGTTCAYGTGCTCAGGACCCGGTCAAATTCGGCACATTTTCACAGGCATAAGCTGGTTTTCCTCACGAACAATCTTTTAATAAAAACTACCCATATTTGTGCAGAAAGGACTTCAATACACTAGCAAACAGAGCAATAAAATATTAAAGATATTAAATGACCCTAGTTTACTTAAAGATAATGTTCAGGAATCCTGTCAAGGGAAAGATATTTATCAAGACACTTGAATACAMTGGGATCAAGTCTGAATAAATACATTAAGTTCAACTTTTTTTTTTTTTGTCTCTTTATTTAAACACAAATACATTTACAGCATGCAGGTAAGTTAAAACTATACGGCGTCTTCCCCAAACCAATTGTTTTAATGCATCTTAAGTGTACTGAAGTTATATTCCACAGGTAGACTTGTCCTCTCATGTCAAATTCAGAGATACACACAGCAGTGAGTCAGCATTTAAATTATGTAAATAATTTAGTTGTTCACCAGAAATAAATATTATTTCACCAAGTTCCTACCCTAAACCGTCTTTTAAAAAATATGATCTAGAGGAATGTAAAAAGAAGCCAAGACTGCAGGTTGAAAGAGCAGTGAACTGAACATTCCCCCTAGACTATTTTAATTTACAAAAAACAGTAATTGTCCTGTCCAGCTGACATATGACAGCCAAACCAACAAAACMAAACCAAAAGAAGTTTTATTTAACATTAAGAGGCAGTTCTCAGTAAACTTGAAAGGTCTTTAAAAAAAAAAAGTTTAAATATAAAAAGGTGATGTACACTTCAAGAGCTACAGGCTAGATTTTTATTTATTTTAAACACAGCAATTTTCAGCACCAAAGCCCCTGATCATTAGCTACAGCACTGAACCTCCCCACTCACAGGCAAGAGAAAAAAAGTCCTGCTTCATTTAAATGTAGTTTCAAGAGAGTTAGTTATGATTGCAGCTTAAGTAGTAAAGGTCTGAAGACCTGTGGTTAACATCGAGGGAGATAATGAGCAGCCCTCTTTCCATTATGTGATATTTCATTTAAACATTTGCCATTATTTTTCTTTTCTGTGTGTGCAGTCTYTAATCATGCTCTAAAACAACTGCAAGTTTGGAGTGTTTGGCAGCCTTAAACAAAAGAGCTTTTAAAAGCTGAAAATTCCAAAATAGTGACATACCTGACTGATACATTCAGCCTTCAAAAATCAAATTATCAAAAATTCAGGCTACTGTAGTTATAGAAAAAAGTGAATAAAGGTCTAAAATTGGACTATGTTCCATCACAATATAAATATTTTGTATATTTATAATATAAAAGTTAAGTGATTTGCCCTCTAAAGAGTCATAGAATCTCTACTGCTTCCACAATAACTGAATACCCAGCAAAAAGTGGTATAATTGTATAATACACAAAGTGGTATTAACAGCCTTTGAAAAGCTATCTGATTTTTTTTTTATTTTTTATTTTTTTTTTTTAAGTAATATTAAGTTCCTTCTCTCCAAGATCTGGTGACCGATTTTTTTTTCCAGAGGAAGGTTGTTCTAAAAAATGTAGTGGCTAAACCCTAGGAATAACTTATGCAAATTCTGCAAGAAAATTTTAAAAGTCAGGTTCAGGAGTCCTGGAGCTCCACGCAAACACAAAAACCCGCGTGTCACTTCAGCCACTTGACAGGACTTTATTGCAAAGAGAAGAAAAATATTTGACAACTACTACCTTGGACATTTCATATACCTACTTACAAATGCATTACAAATACAGTTCAGTGTAGCACTTCTCTTTTAATTAAACACAAGCCCTTGGGATTTCYAGACATGCCAGCTTTAGAAAGACACATCCTTTATTAGCAAACCTGAACTCATCACCCAGCTGCTGAAAGGAATCCCTATTTTCTTCCCCCAAACCAAAAGGTGGAATTGTAGCCCCAGCTCCAGGGCCATTAGAGACACAGGGAGCATGGAGGACAGTTCCAGTTGTTGCTCTCGCGTTGCCGCTCCGAGCGCGAAGCCCGAGCGCGGCCAGCACCGCTCGGCACCGCGTGGGCTCATCCCAACGAGGCAGAACCTTTTCACCCCGCCGCCCTGCRCGGGCTGCACACCCGGGAACAAGACACACGAGACGCTCCATCGCCAAAGCCTCTTTTGTAAACTTCGGTTTACTCTAGTTACTGTACAATATTTCCAAATAACCCGATTAACGGGCAAGTTATAGATAACAGTTAAATAGCCTTGTTCAAGCTGAACTTTGGAGTTCTGTGGTGTGGAGGCTGCAGTGCCTGATGGCAGTTGTCACACTTCAGGGTTCTTACACTGTACACACGTTTAGGTCCGATGCTTTGTGTAACATTCCAGGAGGACTTCAATGCAGAGTGCTGTTCTAAGTCAGAGTGGAACATGTAGTGTTATGCAGAGTGACAAAAAAATGAACATAAACATTGTCGCACATTCCCTAAGACAATAAAAATGTACACAAATTGAGCAAAAAAAAAACAAACTAAGATTTTCTTAACGTACATTCAGCTTGGCACAGTGCAGACTAAATTTAAGACATGAAAGACAAACCATGTAATGAACAGAGCTACACTGTAAGTAATGTGTACTTTTTCAAGACGCCAAAATTGCACTCTAGTTTTTGGGGGGAATCAGCAGAATTTGTTGAAGGGGGAGACAGCTGTACAGGCCAGGTATAATTTATACATTTTTTTCAAAAAAATAATCCTACAATCCCCGAAGGGAAAGGTTATTGTCATGGAATGACTCCCTCTGTGCGATATCCAATCCTCCTCACAGAGCAGTTTTCAGCAACTGTAGAGAGAGAAAAATAAAAGTGGTTACGTGCAGGTACTCTGTTAGAGGGTGATCTCAGCATGTAACCCAGTGCATGATGCTCCTACTGTAGCAGGACTTCTACTTTAACCAGAAGTTCTCAATTGCTTAGCATCTGCATTAACCCACAAAACAACTGGTATAAGATACCACTGACTGCCTTGCAAGTTGTGCAGAGAAAGCAAGTCTGTCGTTCTACTCTTTGGTAGTACTGCAAACTCACAAAAACAACTTATAGAAATTTATTAGTGAAGAGGAAGATTTTCAAAGTTTTGTTCTCTTCTTTCCATGTACTTCAGGAATTCTTCCAAGAAACAAAATAGAAAAAACAGAGTCACTACGGAGTCACACATGAAGAGAATCATACAGAGCTTGTACAGTTCCTTAGGGGACTCTGTCAGACTATTGCTTTCGGGGGCAATAGTCTGAAAATCAAAGTGCTACGTGACACTATTTAAATTCCTCACTGACCAACACTGAAAGCTCCTTCTCTAAAGTGAGATGCAAGCTCAGATTTCAGTTACTTATTGCTGATTAWATTAATTATGGGTATTCTCAAAGCTGTGTGAGACTGGATAGCATCTCTTTAGTCAGAGTTCTAAGCAAGAGAGTTTGAATACAGAAACTCACCCTACAGGAAGGATCTAAAATCAATCAGGTGACTTGCATATTATACATGTCTCTCCACCGACTATAACTRCAACCTGGGAAACTCGAGTCAGCTGGCCAAAGTAAATGGCTGAAAATTAATCTAATCTTGTCACCATCATCATCAAGTTTGAGTTACTAGCACCATGCTCACTTAGAGTAACTATTACARGAGAGTGAAGCACCTATCACTTCTTCCCGTTCTTTACTAACGGATCCCATTGAACAGAAACAGGTTTTTTAGCAGCATTAGGAGGGCGCTGGGCCRCGGCTGAGGGGGCTGCCGGCGCTCACTCACCCTCTGTCCTGGCGCGCTCCGCCGCGCAGCACGGCCGCCGGGCCCGTCTGTGGGAACGCGCCGCCCCCGCGAATTGCACTTGGATGGGTGGGAGAAGCAGCGGGATGTTGTCCGGGACGGATGGGCTTAGCTGCAGGAAAGGAGACACCACTTAAGAATACATAGGTCACGGCTCCGCTGTTCGCCTTGACTAATGCTTTACTCTGTGATATCCTTGGAGGAATCAAGATTTTGTGTTTTCAGTCACAGGAAAACAGCTCAGAGATGGAGTCCTGGGGAGGAGACCCCAGCTGCTCTGCGCTGCAAATGGCTCCACACACTGGCTGCTCCACAGCTCACTTGGCTCCAGCAGCTTCTCACCCGCAAACTAAGAAACAATACCGGCTGTCCCAAACTAATAAAGCAAGGCTTTTTTTGTAGCACACAATTCTGCTCTTAATTAAGACATAACAGCAGCAATGGGGAACCGAGGGGTRTTTCAGAAGGGAAGGGTCTCTTTCACTCACCAATCTGTGCCGAATGGCCTCGTCGGGCCATGTTCTTGGATCTCACAGCTTCCTTTATCCGGTCCACCTCCTGCTGATAGCGCTTGCGATCCCGGGAGGCGTTCTCCTTGGCCTCCTTCAGCGCCGACTCCAGAGCCTTCACTCTCTCAGCTGTGGCCCTAAGGCGCTTCTCCAGTTTAGGAAGTTCACAGCGAAGATCTGCATTATCACGTACCAGCTTAAAAAAAAAACATAGTAAAAAAAATGGATTATTTTCTTGTTGAAGAAGTTCTGGGAGAACCAAACAAAAAAAGCCACCCGAAACCAGGCAAAGCAGTACGACTGCTATATATATAGTTTATTTCCTTAAGCTTTTATCTAAGGGTTCAGCAGCTAAACTGTCATTTGGAAGTTGGTCACTATGGAAGCACATAGTGTTCAATACAGGTGCTTAAGATCAACATTCTTTGGCCAGGGACAGTCAGACACTCCCCCCCCAGATTAATACACTAACTCAAAATGCTAACCTGGGTCTTCTCCAACTTGAATTCAGTTATTTCACTACACACCCACATGCAGTTTAAGTATGTATTAAGCAACACTGTAAGATTACTTTAGTCTGTTGTTGCATGTTGAAAACACATTCAAACATGGAAGGACTCAATTATATAAAGATTATGAACAATATGTATTCTAAAACAATTCACTTCAAGTCACTTTTTTAATTTAAAACTCAAATCTCATACCTGTTTATGGACCTTTGTGAGCTGCTCGAGATTATTCTCAAGGAAGGAAATCTTCTGCTTTTGTGCAGCACTGCCTCCCGTATCATCCGAGTCAATCTCGGCACTCTGTAGTAGCAAGGGCAGGGGGAGAAGAGCACAAATCTGAACTGAGACACAGACCAACCCTGARCAACTGCACTACACGACAAGGAAAGAGACTAACTCCTAACCCAATTTTAAAATGAATTTTATGTAACATTCTCCGAAACAAGAAGTTTTACCAAAGCATCCATTACCTTCTTCACTCTAGTAGCCAGATCTTGAACAAACAGCTTCCGAAGATTGTGAAGAGTCTGAAGTTCTTTAGCCTATAGGTAAAAACAGTATTTTTAAAAACAATCAAAACTAACTCGGGAGTGGGGGAGAAAGCATTGGCTTTGGAATACATCCTGMCTAGCTTACCACAGTCTCTTCCAAACCCTTTAAATCTTGTCTTGCTTGTTCCCGTCTGTCCTGCATAACCCTAAAAGAGAATACATGAATCCTAAGACATCTGATCAAAACTGAAAACGTAATGTTCTAAGAGGTTAGAGTGGAGGAAGAAAGACAGTATTTTTAAGTCCTTAAGTAAGGATATAGCCAACAGATGACACCATCATTTCTAGAATACATAAGGATTCTCAGAATCAAAAGTCAGGATGAATACTTGGGAAAATCTTATCCTACAAATATTTTTATCTTTGATCAGATGAAATGTTAAGTGAAAGAGCCTTGGACTCTCATTTTATCCTCCCTCTCTGCTAATATGTTTGCCAAAGCTTTTACCACACACAATGGAAACTCAATTTCCAAGAATAAAAGCCACTGGCAGCATTTTGCTTTCAATTTGAACAGGAAGACAGAAKCTCTGCCTGTGCTTTGCACTATGAAAGCTCATTTTTTGGAATGATCTTGAGATTATGGTCAGATTTCTAATGATTAAGAGAYGTTCTGAACTAGCTGACCACTTGCTGAACTAATGGACAATGCCACAGCTATATAAAACCTTAAAAGCTACATACTGACTTGAAAAGCAGAATTTAATTCTAAATTCTGCATCAACTATACAGCCTCTAACTCACTATGATATTGTATTTMGTTTTTCCAGAGAGGTTGAATCTTAAGTACAGGCAAGCTACACCAAACCACTTAAATCACAGAAAAAAAGAGTAGGGAGTTGCTCAATTARGGTGAAACTTTTACAGTTTTAGAAAAAACAATACTTAACTGAAGGAAAAAAAAACAAAAAACAAAAAACAACAACAAAAAACCACTGCATATCATCAAATGATATGCACCACTTCCCATATCATGCCAGGTAACTAGTTTTTAAAGGTGTGATGTTTCACCCGCTGTTGACACCTACGTAAGCTCGTGCAGCTTTCTGCTTTTTTCCTGATCTGTTGCCTTCAACTTCTCATGTTCGACTCTCAGACGCTCCTGTTCAAGCATCATCTTCTGATTTTGGCTGAAGAGAGAAAGTAAATATTAGACGTCRGTACTTCATAAAAGGAAAGGAAAGAGTAACAAACAAATTGGCAGATCTTTAATCCTTTTAGCTTAAACTTGCTAGACATGCTAAAGACTTCTCTCCCTGACAAGATAAAAGGTCCAAAAGAAACTCATTAAGTTACAATCCAAGTCATATCAGCAACAAGTAACATAAGCTTCTGATATGYTGACTCAATCAGCTGAACTTGTTCCATGTGACACCACAAAAGGCAAAACTCAAGTTAGAAACAGTGCTGGAGGGAAACCTTGTCATCCCATCCTACCACKCTTCCTTACAAAGCTTAGGAATACATGGCTAATAGCTAACAAAGTAACTGCAATTACTTACTCTTGTAGTTCAGTGATAAGTTTCTCCTTTGCATCAACTTCATCTCTTAGGCTGCTGATTTGTTTCTGATGTGTCTCACGATGGCTCTGAATCTGCTGTTCCACAGCTTGCTATTAGGGAAAACGTACATGTTGTTATATTTGCTAAGAAATTGTTATACTTCACTTTAAAGAACACACACAAAAAAGGACTTACTTTAACTTCATTTGCAGTCTGAACTTTATTTAAGTGCTCTTTCTCCATTTCATGGACTTTTTCTAACAGGGATGGGGAAAGAAGAAGAAAAAAACCAGAGCATTTTAGCTGCCAGATAACTAGGTAATCACAAAGAAGATAGGGTAAGYGTTGAGCACATCTCACCTGCATATTCCCCCATCCCTAATCCCCTGAGGATATTTTTCCCCAGAAAATTTATCAATTAAATTAGTCACACCTTCAATTTAACCCTGTTCTTAGCAGTTCTTTCCAACAAGACACCAAGCATGGCTCTCTCTTCATTTAATTCTATATGCTCAGGCAAATGAAAAGCCATTTTGCAGATCTACCCTTCAACTTAGATAGTATTGACCAATTTCTTAGTTATGACTACACATTTAGTAGATTAAAAGGATAGGAGGGGAAATGATCACCAGAAGGTATTCCTACCCTGTGCTCGAAGTTGGACTAATTCTTCATTAAGGGAATCTACAGACTCCTCCAGTTGCCTCTTCTTCTGTTCCACATTCTGAAGATACTCAGTCAATGACTTGATCTTAGCTTCATGCTTTTGGAATGGAAAGAAAAGAATCATTTACTTTAGAACCAAGTAAAACAGAACTCTATCTGCACAGTGACATCACATTCATTCTTAAACAACCAACCTGATCTCAAAATAAAAATGCSAACTAAATTCTCTCTAAAGAAAGAAAAATACAAATGCTACAAAAGCATTAAGCTACACCCATATTGTGGAAGTTCTGACAACTTCTCACTCAGCCCATTCACTCAGAGACATTCAAATTGAATAAAGAACTAAGGACAGAGCAAGAGTGCTACRACTCTTGTGAGGTGTCAAATGCATTAAGCGACTGCAACATTTAACTTTCTTGCAAAAGGCCTGATAGATAAAAAAGAAGATTCAGGAAAAAWTCTAGAGAAACAATTACCTGTGAGATACGGAGCTGACAGGCAGCCAGCTCCTTTTCGTTCTCTTCCATTTTCTTATTGCTTTCAGCTTGGGTGCCTTCTAACTGTTTGCAACGTTTAACCATTGTTTTCACTTCTGATTTCATTTTACTAATGTACAGTCTTGCAACTGTGAACTCTTCATCTATCATGCCAGTTCCCTCAGGCTGCTGAAAAGTTGGAAATTGCACATTGAGAAAGTTTARAGAACTAAAATACTTATTTGTACAGAGAATTAAGTATGCAACTTGTATGAATAAACTAGAAGTATTACATGCTTTCTAAATTACCTCAAATCCTCACTCCCACAAACTTATTCTATAGATTCTATAGATTTCCAGCCTTTTCTACAGTGATGTTAGTTATCTTTACTAAGAATTCTGATCCTAGATACTCAAAACGTACAGGTGTAGTAAGGGTCATTAAAAAAAATACACTAACTGAATTTTACCTTGACATCATTATTTCCTACTGCAATTCCTATTTCTGCAAGATCTTTTAGTAAGGAGGCCATCATCTCTGTTGCTCGCTTCTTCTGATGGTTGGTCATTTCTTTCAGTTTCTGAAGCTCCGCATCTATACTGGCTAAAGTAACCTAGAAAAAAAGAAATGATATTTTATAAAAGAAAACACATTTCCTAGAACTAGCTTCATTTTTTAAAATAATATATCAAGATATAATTGCCTACTGAAGTGTCCCAAGCAAATGATATCAAATCATTTAAGTAAACTACGGAATAAAGAGATTTGTATATTTTCATGTTCAAGACTTCTTGGAAAGAAGAAAGAGCACTGCATCCTCACAGTATTCTGCTTCTAATGCCTACAAATAAGCATATCCTTTCCATTAGCAAGTATTTTAATGCTAGGCAGTATTAGTTGTCTTTAACTGTTTGAAGTCTGCCAAATATTTGGCTACCACTGGTCCACAGAGTTGTGCAGATATTTGATGGTTGGTGGTATGTTCTCTGTGGGACCGATGCAAGGCATGTATTGAAATACGGGCCCTCTCTCAGAATCGGTCCTCAGCATTTTACTCATTTCAGAATGTAAAATAAACTGCCTCTTCTAGACAACATCAAGATACAGCACGCAGAATACCCCTTAAATACAGTAGTGTGCGAATACAGGTTTCTTTCAAGGAAGACTTGTATGTTCACTGCAATTTTCGGACTGGGGACAGTTTGGAGCAGACTGTGTTGCTGGTACAGCACAGRCACTCCTCAGACAACAAAACTGGAACAGGCAACCAGTACGTAATAAAAACATGAGTCTCTAGGATTTTTTTAAACTGCTCTTAAGGTGGGGAAATGTCATAGATGCTACATGGAAAGCTGTCAGGTCCAATATTCAACATGGATTTTACTGTCTTTAGCAAAGCCTCCTCTGCTAAGGCTAGTGTTAGAAACCACAAACTGAGAAAGCTTCCAGATTAACTACCTGTTAGTATTCAGGCATTTCAGAAAAAGGCAAGACAAGAGTGAAATATATTAACTCTTACTTCATATTCAACAGTGGTGACTCAAGGCCCAAAGTTACTTCTTCACAGGGCAAAACACTTTCATATTTGCATCCCAGCTCTAGCTCAGCATTACAGAGAAGACTAACATTGTTTCATGCCATCGAGCTCTACAGATCTAGTGACACTGTCCATGAAAATTGCCAAAACAACAGACTAAAAGCGGAAAAGTCCAACACATTGAGAAAAAAATTCAGATCGTCTCTGCCATGGAAGCATTTTTAGAGATCTCATATGGGGGGGGAAGGGGTGTGTGTGGAGAGAAAAAGAAAGCCATATAAAAAGCAACTTAAGGAATGCAAGCAAGGCAAAAAAAAATTTAGTTGAAGACAGTCAGTAATTCCTTTTTTTCCCCCCCGTGTCCTACCGATTTTTGATTGAGTTCATCACTAAGCAGCTCATACTCCTTTGCCTTATCTTCTACTTCCTGAGACTTCTGGTCATAGTTGACTGCTAGTTCTTCAAGGGCTTGCAGCACTTCTTTCACTTCTTCTTTAGACGCATCATTTTCTGCTTGGAGGCGATTCAGCTCTGCTTGCAGGTTGTCTTGGTCCCGTCTGGTAGAAGCGAGAAGCTACAACAGCAATAGTGACATATAGTTAATAATCATCATCAAAAAAATGATGCTTTCACTTACTGTATTACTGTGAATTCCCAGTGCCCAGCATCATGGACTAGGTATGCTCAGGATGGATACAGTGAGAGCATGATAAAAGTTCAACTGCTCATCTATAARCAGAGTCTGTTTTAAAAGTTCTCAAAGCCAAAATGATTATTCATCAAAGCCTTTCCAAACAGCAGCTGAGAAYGCACATGAAACACAGCAAGCTTTCAAAAGAGAAGCTGAACACGATTCACAAGTGTTTGAAGTTCCCAATAGGTAGGCAGTACATTTTTCAGTAGCTAATAGAGTTTCAAATACAGAGAGGAACAAAAAAAAGCAAAATAAAGATTTGCTAAAGAGGTAGATTTATTTATATAAGTAGAGCAAATAAGAGCCCTAACTTCTCAAGTGCTCAGAAACCTTTTCCTTCTTTCCATGTACAAGAAGGACCTCTGTTTATTTGCTTTTAGCATGTTTTTATTTTCTCTGTCCTAAATGATATAATTAGTTTCATCACTAACACACATTACTTCACAGCCAACACGTGCACACAAATGGTTTGAATATTCCAGTATGTATGATCTGAAGCAACACATAAATACTTCTCATTAARGACCATTACACATTTGTTGGCCTTTTCCCCTTGATAGGCCTGTACAGCAATAACGACCAAAGGTAAACTTAACACAGTAACCTTCAGTAAATCGAGGTATTTTGACGAACTGCTGGCTTGCCTGGCTGAAAAGAACAGCCAATGGCTTAAATGTAAAACACTGCAATGTTTCCAATTTTCACAGAGGCTTGAGTAAACAAGCTTAAACGCAGTTGGCTCCGTTACTACGGTGTAGGAGTGGGGAATGACTAGGAAGAGCATTTAGGTTAGGAACSAGAGAACTACTACAGCAATAAGCTGCCATCCCACTCCCTGATCATAAAACTGTGACTCATTTGAAAACATGTCCATTTTAAAAAATTTTTATATTAAGAAAAATAYTAAGATACAAGACAAACTCACCTCCTCCTGATCCAGCATTTGTGTTTTTAGTTTTTCTACTAGCTGGCTCTGCTGATTAATCTCTTCATCCTATAGTTGAAATAACAATGAYAGAAAATAGATGATAGGTAGTCCACTTCCCATATTTTGCAATAAAATTAAAAATATATATATCCTTTTGATTCACTGGCTTATACATTGGCCTCTTCATCTGGTGTGTACTTACAGAATATTATGCTTCTAAGACAAAATTCTTATACCTACACTTTGCAGATCCTCTCAATTCTTCCAACTTTCCAAGAAACAAGTAAAAACAAATTCAAAGATTCTCTCTCTCCAAACTTAGGGCATTGCTTAAGTTTTACAGTATGTTCAAATCAACTATGCATAAATCAAAAACAGTAGCTTTTTCCTTCTAGTGTTTTCTGCTTACTCATTTCCCTGACTCTGGTACAATATTATTCCAAGGAATCTGTCAGGAATGTTCTATGCCCAATAAGTAGAAATATTATTAAAGATTTTCACAGACTTTTCCTTCTCTTTTATTTTTTTAAATTATATTTAAAAAATATTTAAAAAAAATGAAAGAAAAGCTTTCTGCCTACTGSTAAGTTTATTTTTGGCAATTTTTTGACAGGAGAAAGCAAGTGAGACAGTATACTCACTCAGCACCAGATAAGGCCATTTCTCTTAAGCAGACTTTTAGAACTAAAGCACTCCAGATACACGTTCAAGCAAGCAGAGTAGCAAATTAAGTATTAGATAATGCAGCTCAAGATGTTTTTCCACGAGGTCTTATATTAAATAAGAATGTACCTTGTCATCTAGTTGTTTGTACAGCTTAGCAATTTCTTCCTCACATTTTCTTCTCTCAGTATCAGTGAAATTGCCTGTTACTCCAATTGTGGCAGCTGGTTTATCATTAAYAACAGTAATGTCCTTGTCCACTGCGAAAGCTTCTAAATTGGCCTTCTCTTTGTCAAACTGCTCATCAACTGGTACAGTCTCCCCTTAAATAAGAAATACGCTTATGAGGTATTYTTGGTACTCATGGATTACCTTTCAAAAAGTTAGCCTTAAAAAGCATTGCATATTTGCTAGGAAAAGCACAGCCCCACGGTTAAACCACCACCACGTTCACAGATTTCATGACAAAAAAATAACGGTTAGATCATCCAGACTGACCCCCTATTTACCACCAGCCATTATATTTTCATACAGTTATTCTGCTGTAAGCTTCACATCCCACATTAAATCATATTTTCTAGAATCCTAACTTCCCCTGAAGACATTAAAGAAAATCATTTCTCTCCCCTCAGAAATMTGTTTTGATAGCGACCCATATTTACTGTGAAAGTGCTTTACCTCCAATTTAAATACTGGACGAAAATGTAAGTAAATAATACAGTTAAATGCATACTTGCTGTCCTTTTCACATTCATGAAGCCTCTTCTGGTGAGAGTACTTCACTAACTTCATATKGAGAAAATACCACATGCTAATGAAAGCACTTGGCAGTGCCCAAATTCCTAGCACTTTACTACAAAGCATTTTGTGGGCTCTTTTCAACACTCCAGCATCTTATGTCAATATTCTGAAAGAATTAAACTTTTCAGGTGCGGTCTCTCAACCACCTCCAAACGAGGAAGAATATGGAGAATGGAAGAGTACAAATCTACTTCAATAAATATGAATTATATCTTACTCAAATTATTTAAATAAGATTTGTCTCCCTCCCCCCCCCAGATTTACAGCAGGAGGTTGTGCAGAAGTTGTCTGCATGATTGCAAAACCATCTTCAGCTGCCAAACTCCAGGCTATATCTACTTCTGTAAGCACAACCTATGCTCTCTTCTCAAATATAAGACTTCACATGTAATTTACCTTGCCATATCTTGCAAAGCAAGAGAATTCAAACACTCAGAAAGAAGCGAGGGTGCATGTTCTGTGCTGGCAGCAATTTTTCATGCCCATTAAAGTGATACATAATTTTAGATGAGGACAGGTTCTTATGATACTGATTTGAATTGGAGAAAAAAAAGCACTGTTTGTTCAACTTCTGCATTTACTTCCCATTTAACCATGTGTTAAAAACTTAGCCAACAAACTTTCAGACATTTTTCCCCACTGTGCAATTACTTAGAATTGTCACATCTGAAATTCAAGGTGGGAAAAATGGTAAGCTTCAATGTCAACCTGATATGCAGCTTTAAATATCCTAAATAAGCTTTCACATACAGTTTTTAACTACTTTCAGTATCGTGGAGTCTAAATCAGTGTCTATGTCCTTRCTTAAGTCTGCATAACAGTTTTTTTTCCTCACCATTCCGCCATCTGTTGAGTTCATTTTCTAGCCACTGTATGGTGTTACGCAGAGTCTTGTTCTTCTCTTTTTCTTTCTCATATTTCTTCTTCCACTGTTCTGCAGTGAGCTCCACATTGACACAGACTGTGTTCTTAATGGTCTTTGCTCTGCAGAGAAGGAGCAAGAACCTCTACAATTGGTTCTTTTTAAGATGTACAGAATTTTAGATATAATCTCTCATGTATCATAGGTGAACGTGTAAACAACTCCYACCTTTTCCACAGCTTCTTCCTACTCCCTGTCAACTTACTGTTCTTTCAGTTRTGTCAATGCAACCATTAGCAGAAGTAACTATCAAACAACCCCTGATCACACTGAAAAAAATCCAAGCTGTCTGAGCTGGATACATTCACTTGAAAGAATTTAAGTCAGGACACCACCGTTTCAAACAAAGAGCAGTAAGGTTAACGCTTAACTTAATACACCTAGCAAACATATTTGCAATGGTCAAGGGAAAGCATCCACATACTTTCAGATTAAAAGAATAATTCATCATTTCATGCTGAACAGGCTCCGATTAAACCCTCCCTTAACAAAAAAGGCGCTCAGGCCAAAGTTCAGACACAATAATCTACATTTAGTAAGGAAAGCAGGAGTTAGCCAGAAGCTAACTCTTCATCACTCTTGTAAGTATTTTTCTGCCAAGTCTCATTGTGACTGGCTATTACCAAAGGCATATTATTTCCTACTGGATTATGGGCTGAGATTCAGCCTAAACTGAACAAGCAGGTTAATAAAATTATTAAAATATTAATAATTCAATATACCAGACTAAGGTATGCTTTCTAGAATAAAAATCTCTGAAAGATCAGTTGAAGAATTTCCTGTTGAACAGTAGCAGGAGAGGCAGGCTAACACAGAGGAGACGAACAAAGCAAAACCCTGAGAGCTTTTAGTTTACTGGAAGAGGTTACAAAGTGATTCAATCTAGAGTTCAGAATCTACAAAATTATGCTCAGACATTTATAACAGAGCAGCAGGGTTCTGAGTACCTCAAAATTTCTGTGCAACTTATAATTGAATTCATAAATATTAACTCAGAGAGTTAAATACAGGAAATGGAACAGAGGATAAGATTAACAAGCTACTAAAGAAAGGTTGTCAGAGGGCAAGCTCGCTCTGCAAATAAAGGTTTTGGCTTATCTGTAGAGTACCTCCTTTCTCCCTCCTCCAACTTCAAAATAAGAATATTGATTCCCCTTCCCAAGTCTCTAYATTAAACTTCATTTTGACTAGATGATACACAGTTCTCTTGAGAATATATACTGTCTTCAGGATCCAGACAAACTAAGGATTTTTTTATATAAATACCTTAAAAATGTAAAGAATTTATATGAAAATAAAATTTATATATTCACATATATTATTTAAATACAAAATATATAATGGATTATATCACTTARTGTGCTAACTGTGCACAGCAGAATTAGAGCAAGAAAAATGAACATTCAACTTCATACAGAATGAGAAGTTACTAAAATTACTTCTAGAGGTAGTAAGAGCAAAATATTAACATATTTGTATATATTAATATATAACTAAATAATCACTAGCATTTACAATCTCAAGTTATATGCTTATTAAAAACAGATTCCTTCAATGTTTGCTTACTCTTGGAGATTTACTTGCATCAAGTAGTAATTTGTTGTTAGGCAGGAAATATAATCTTAGAAGGCACTTAACAGGGACAAGGAGGAAAATTTAATAGGGAGAATTACCTTGCGAGTCATTTACTCACCTTTGGCCAAACAGAAGAGTAGACTTCGTTTCAGATTCATTGTATGAAGATGGAGAACAGCAAATAACAATAGTGGTTCTGCAATTACCTCCTAGCGAGTCCTGAAGGATTCTTGTCATTTTGCTATCACGATATGGAACGTAAGTCTACCAAGAAAACAGTTGAACAGGATTTAAAGCTTCCATGCACAACACTGCATAGCTCAGTAAAGAAGTTCTGTATATTACAGCACACTGAATGCAAGCCTTTAAAGATCCCAAGAGCACACTTACACTGCTTTCAGCCAATGCCGAAATGACATTCCCAAGAGCAGACAGAGACTTGTTGATATTCTTAGCCTCATCCAGCACAGCACCTTCTGCTCCAGTTTTACTCACCTAGGTAACATTTCAAAAGTTATTAAATGCATCTTCAGAAACACCTTTCTCATTTAATGCAAAACTTAAACAACTTTCTCCCCTTAAAGGCAATTTGGATGCAAGAGGCACATGTCAACAACTTGGGTCAGAATAATTAAAACCCTCCTCAGGCTCTCTATTTTTCCTTCAATTTTCGTAGAGAACTCAGGATTTGGAGATACTTCTGTTACGTCAACAAAAGTATTTTCCCTTAGAAAGCAAGTCTTTCTATRAAACATAAAGAGATAGCTAAAAGCCTGCATCTACAAATTGAAGCTTTTTCGTAAGTTGTTTCATTCCTTAAAAAAAAAAAAAGAATGGCTGATTTGAAACCACAAATCAATCACAACCCAATTTAGAACTATAAATCTTCATAAGAAGGTTTACAGARTTTGTTTAGAAGCCACTCCAGAAGCCAGGAAAGCAAAGCAGCAAGCCTATTTTAACAAAAGTTCTTGAAAACACAGGTTTTAGAAGGCAAATTTGACCCACATGAATGCCCTAAGAATCAAAGTTGATATTAAAAGATACTGAGGGRGGAAATCTCATCTCATACCATCCCGACTTTCCTGCCTGGGGGTTGTTTGATGTATAGTTCTGTAATTCCCCTTTGATAGCCTTCCTCATCAAGATGCCATCCTGTCTGTAACTAAACAATTCCACTTGTATTTCAAAAGACTGAAAAGCAGAACAGAGCAGAATTTCTGCTAAAAAGCAGAAGAAACCAAAGTACCCCGAAAAGAGACCTGCAGCCTGACTTGCTTTTTCAACTTTTTGCTCATCCTGCCTTTATGCTTCCAGTTTGACTCCGATTAAAAGAGACAAGCACTAAGAAATATACTCTAGAATAAGAACAGGRTCAGAAAGAACAGAAAAGACACAGAACAATGACAAGCACAGGCAGCGCCAGGCAGAAATGACTGAAAAAGCTGGAGACAACGATGGAGATAAGCCCCGGGAGGAAAGATTAAAAGGGCAACGTCAGAAATCCAGGTCTTAAAGGAGTAAATGACAGTGTATAATAAAGCTGCATAACACTAATATAACAATAAACAAAACAAAATATGATGTTTCATTCCTTCTTTTAAGCACTGATTCAGGAAAGAAAGTTGTCATMATTGTGATAATGCTGATAAGAATTCAGAAACCTGGTACCACCACATAAAAAAACTTCAGATACTCCACATTCAGAAACACTCTGATTTTATTATCTAACTTATCTAATATACCCATATAGTTTTTACCTCTCTTGGATATTGAGAATGAGCCTATTGCTTCATCCTATTGCACACATACAAACTACCTGCAGAAACGCAAATCAGTTCAAGGAGAGAGTATCTGAAGTCAGAATTAAAAACCTTCCAGAGATGATGGCTGCTCAAGTGTTTTAAATAAATGTAAAAATTATCTGAGATTTTCAAAACAGGAAAAGAGAARTGAAAAGTTACCTTTTCACTACCTGCCAAGTCCACAAGGTAAAGTTTTCCACTTAGTTTCTGTTCTGTTTGAGTATTCTCTTGTTTTACATTAATAAGAAAAATACTATGACTTCGGGAGCTGTGTTCATTCATATCTGTAATCCAAAATATATAAATTGTCAAAAAAAGTRCAATAACATTAACTAATACAGTATCTTCCTATACTGAATTGACAGATCTAAAGGTAACRCAACTATACACAGCTGTCTCACAAAACAGTACAATTAGACACAGCAAAACTAACACCCAGGATCACCTAATTGAGTAATGAAAATGCAGTCTCCCTTGGGCTTCTATTAATACCACATAAGCTCCCTGATAAGATTTGTTAATATGTCATCTGTAGATTTCACACATTTAGTTCACTATGCATCTTGACACCAGAGCACACTTTTAAAATTTAGTCTATCACTTTCTGAAATTTTGTGAAAGCTTAAACTAGATGATTAAGTCATCTCTCATCCCCTTYTTCTTGAAGTACATATTGCCACCTGTGCTGTGAAACACACAATGTGAACAAGACTCAGGATGAATTTAAAGAACTGTTTTAATTTATTAACAAGTCCATTTCTTCTTCCTTTGAACCATAAATCCCTTACAGACCTAAAAGGACCGGTCCATTAATTCCACACATGATGCTCAGCATGACAGAGTGTCTCTGTATCCAACTTTCTGTTATTTCTCCATTATTTAGCCCGGACCCCATTTCAGTACTGTGCCACCTAGAAGTAATGAAGCTGAAATGCAGGACTAATTCTTTCCTTAAGACAATTTTTATTTCCGCTTAACCAAAGAAATGAAAAGGAAAAGCTTATGTTTTCTTAAAGAATGTGTGTTCTCTTCCTTAAAGGAACAACTGGACAAACACAAAACACCAAATTGCTCCTCAACCCAGCTCACAGATTTCCAACCAAAAACTGAAGTATTATTGTGCATGAATCTTATTTCTCCTTGTCATTTTTTGCCTTTTTAATCCCACTATCCCATTTCTCATGGAAACATGGACACTAGTGTTATTGCTCCTGCAAACCCACTTGTCTGCCCCAGGCCAAAAAATGAAACTCAGGACACTGGGATGCTGCTTGGATCTGCAGTGTGTCTGAATACACCTTTGGACAGCTTTTCTTCTTAGAGACATCACACCCAATGCGCACGTGAGACACAGTGGCTTATTTTTAGATTCACAGGTTAACTGGAGCAAATTCCACAAACCGGAACTCGGCATTATTCCTAACACACAACTACACCCCCCTCACCCCAGGCAAGAGCTCCCCACTGATCACTGATCATTTTCTCTTCCTAATCCAAGCCTGAGTAACATCTAACAAGAAATGTACTGAGAGTTGGTTCTAAAAGACATGCTGGAACGTCTTACACTAAGCCTTTAAAAAATGTTGGGTTTTTTTTTTTTTTTTGGGTCTTTCCCATTTTTGAATGCCTATAATAAACAGACAACACGCCAAGAGGGGTAAATACTTACTTGTAACTGCTACATGTCGATTAGATTTTCCTTCATCTATAGTATCCATAACTTCTTCTGGACTACATACAAAACGCTCTGTGCAACCCTTTAAAAAAATATCGACAAGCCAGAAGTAAACAGTGCACATGACAGAAATGAAAGATCAAAACAACACCAGGTTATCACTCACCTTTACATAGGGAACTCTATTTTTATCTTCATGAACAGAAAGATTGGTCTTTGAAACTGGAAGAGAGAAAGTTCTAAAGCTCAAGTACATATCAACTCTTTGCCAAAGAAATTAGCTACTCACAACACACACCTCAGGAGGTGGRGATATTATTTCACAGCAACACTGTCTATACAAAATAGAGAAAACAACTGCTAGTGCAGTTTAAATGATTTTGTACATTTTAGCTCCATGCTTTCTTATTTTGATGCATCCATATCATGTAAAGGTTATTATTAGTATAGTACATAGCTACATATCATAAAGCTTTTATTTTAATCTCTCCCTCTAGAATAATTTTTTTACATGAATCAAAGACTTACCATCCAAAAGGTCCCTTATTTTATCCAAGTATATTTCAAAATATGACACCTAAAAAGTAAGTAAGAGACAGAGGAAAAAGATCATTAGAAAGCAAAAATACAAAGCTTTGGCATAAAAAGAATCCACTTGATTTAGACTTCTTACATAAAACATCTAATTCATGTATCAGAGGCTGAACTAAAATTTAGCTTTAAAAAAAGCAGCCATTTTGATCAAAGCTTCAGGTACTATCAGTACTGACAGGCACTGTCAGGATAGCTACCATCAATGTTTAATGGAAACAAGATTAAAGTGTTAACTTAATTCTTCTTTAAGAGATAGTTACTTCTGTAATAACTCATTTAGATTTTTCAAGTTACAGGCAATGGACTAGATAAAACAAACACTTAACCACAGACTACCTCCAGATTTAATAGTGAAGCAAGTTTCTTAAACAGGTAGCAATGAAGAAAGCTTACTTTAATATGAAACTCGAGATTCTCATCCATAGAGTATATATAATTAAAAATATCTTGCACTATTCTTGGAATAATCCCCATTCCATCTGGGTCATGAAGTTTCCCCTTATTAGAAAAAGATACAAAATGAAACATTACATTAAACACTGTTTGAGATGTTGAATTCAAAGGCAAAACAAAGTCAACGGACAACAACCTAGTTTTAAATACATCAGACGTCACGCTTTTATTTTACCTATTAGAAAAAAAAAGTCTTAATCATTCACTTAAGCCCAGTATTTACCTAAAGAGAGACACAGAGAGAGGAGAAGAAAAAAGCGCCTCAGATCTCTCTCAGACAACTAAAAGTGAAAAACTACTATCAGAAATCTATGTTACTTCTACTACTGAAATATAAAAGACTACAGTTATTGTCACTTCCAGGCCTGACATACATTTTAGTTATCCAAATATTGCAGTGTAAGAAAGTTAAAATATAGGATGAAAACAGCAGATAGATCTTATATCTAGAAGAAAAGTAGTACTGTGGTGAGAGGAAATCAGTGACAGTAAGAGATAACTATCTTAACATTTCTTACTTCCATAGTGTGCGTTTTCCCAGATGATGTTTGCCCATAAGCAAATATTGTACCATTGTATCCCTCAAGTACATCTAGAAGAAAAGAGTATTTTCATTAGGGTTCTTCTTTTTCTACAGAAACATCAAGTGTAACAGAATTCAAGCAAACAATTACAAAAAGCTTCAGCAAATTAAATCACCAATTGAATGGATCCACCTGCAGTAACTCAGTAGTAGGTTTCGGGTTGGGGGGATGTAATTACATTTCAAGTTTACTGTTTTTGAAGGAGTTTTTCCTTCAACCAGAACACTAGACCTTTAACTCAGCAATTCCTTTCTGTTCCCAATTCTAACGTCCTAATACAACTGCCAGGTTGAACAACAGATGGTCTTCAATGACTTAAGAGGAAGAAATTGTGCACAAGAATGTTACAGTATCATCAGCCTTCCCAGCCAAGTCCAAATGCATAACTGTTAAGAGAAGGGGCTATGCCATAAATTTCAGCAGCTTACTCTTCACCCACAAGGAGAGTCTGTTGCATTTTAAATTGCACATGAATCAACTTGGGATTGCCTTTTYATCAAAAAAGAAAGTTAGGGTGGGGGTGTGTTTGTTTACCAGTGTGACTGTTGACTATCATCTTGAAAGCAAACTTTTGTTTTCTGTAAACAGCCACAAGCTACTCCTGAATGGGGAGGTCTTATCTAACCCATCATACTCTGAATCCATGTGTACCAACATTACAGTCAACTGTCACAAGATGCATCACAGCCTAACACACATTCAGGGGAAGGGAAAAACAAAGTTTGTCAGATGCGGTAATGAGGGGGAGCACAAAGAAGGCAGTGGGAAAGGATTGCAGTTCATGGTCAACTCCAATTCTGAATTGCCAAAAAAAATTTTACTCTAATAAAATAATAAAAAGGAAAAAATCTTTGAACTAATCCTAATCTCTACTTAACTCCTTTAAGATTTAAATTCTTACAGTAGCATGGATTCTTCACAACAATTCTCTTATTAAAAATGTATTTAATCAACTTTTCTTTCACTTTCCTTGTCCTTTTATTAATAAAATTTCCCTAAAATATCAATTATTAGTGGGTTGACTACAGCAATGTAGTATTTTTAGTATTTTGTAGCATTTTGTAGCCTTGTAGACCTTGATTTTTAGAAGTTACTAAGCCAATTTTGACAATTCAGATTTGAAACTGCACATCCTAGAGATGCACAAAACTCATATTTAAACTTCTATTTGAAGCTAAAAATCACATCACAATATTAATCCTTTAACTACATAAAATCAACTTAGAAAATATCTCCAGGATACAGATGCTTTTACAAATTTCCTTCTTAAATCCTTTGAACAAGATAACACAACTGCAGAATACTTTCTCACAACAGATAACGCAAAAAAAAATTTTTTTAAACTACTCAGAAGAATTGTTTTCAAGTAGAAATGTTGGCTTTGATATTTAATTTCTGATAAATTGTTTAAAACTTTTTTTCAGAAATCAGTAAAAAACCATGAAGGTAAATATTTATGAAATATTACAAATATCTGAATTCTAAACCTGCTGTTTCAGCTCTTTGATCTACCAGATTACTGGAAGATTTTTACACTGCTATGATCCATGCCAGGTCTTACCAAGGTAAGAAAAAATAACAGAAGTTTTCACCATCAAAATCCAAATAAATATGTAAGGCATGGCCATATGGGAAAAGCTATTCTCCCACCTTACCTTTGACAATCTTTTTAGCACAATCATTGTATACTTGTTCCTGTGATGTGTTTGACTGGAATACACGGTCAAATATGTATGGCTTGGACTGGAAAGAAAGAAAAGACACAAGAGTTACTTAAAAGACAAATCCTAGAAACACAAGTGAGAAGTTTTTGAATACTGCTTTGGAAGCCATCTTTGTCATCTCCATATCTTATGTTTTAGTTTCTTTTACGCTAGTAATGTGGAAAAAAAGCATACACATAGCATTGCCAAAGTCTTCATATGTTTGCCCAGAAACAAGGGCTTGAATTCAATATATTTGGTTACAAAGTGCAACATACAGAGGTTACCAAAACTACTCTCCCACATGACCTCAATCTATCCGAGTTGCAACGTAAACTAATACTTAGGCTATATTCCCCAAGAAGCCTTTACTCCTTTCCATAACCCCAGCAGACTCATATTATTAAAAACATTTTACAACACTTATCCAGAATGTTTGTCTTGGCAATGCTTCCTAAAACAAACAAACAAACATTCAGATTACCTGCAGTCACGTAAGAACTATGTCCACCCTTCCTCCCCCAAAAAACACTATCCATAAGCAGAAGGAAAGTGCCAGTTTTGGAGGAAAAGAATCGATCACAAAAGACTTGAGTCGGAAGACGCAAAAGGCAACAGTTCTGATATTAGCAGTAGTAGTAGATTTTTGCTTTAAAATACAAGAGATTTTTATAGCAGTTCTAAACAAGCGAGAAATCGTTAGGATATGAAGTATTATACTCATTTTAGGAAGTTAAATTTTTTGCAGCATTTTTGAAGCTTGATTTAGCATCTTTTGCAGATAGTCAAGAATAACAAGGGACCAAGGTCATTTCCCATGCCTAATCTCACGACAACTGTTAAGTGCTCAATTTTATTTAAATTTAGTTATCATCCCTCCCCCCAAGGATATTCTTAAACAGCACCCCTGGCAGAGCAGCCAGTCCAGCTTCCATCCTTCACCCAAGCTGACCTTCCACGTGCCTTTTAGTAAGGTCTAAGACAATATCAAACAAAGCTTTCTAGTTCCAACACAAAGCCAACTGCTGAGGGCTTGCATCCAGCTATATGACTTCCCCTTCAGGAAAATAAATAAATAAAACAAATAGATACATAACCTCATTACAGCATTCAGAGTGTAAATAAGCTTAAGAAACTACAAGACTTAGCAGGTAGAAACCATCCCTAAGGTCCTAAAGTTTGTTAGATAATGCACACTTTCACCTTAGGGAAATCACAAGTCCTCTCAATTAGTATTTTTTTTTAAACCTTCAAATATACATCAAATTCTTAAGTTGCAAAGGAAGAACCGAGACCATTGTATTGACTAAGTACWCCAGGAGAAACTAACAATTCAAGTAACATTAAGGTAGGAGGCTGAAGACTGAAAATGCATTATATAAAAATGTAAGTCACTGCAGATCAGAGAATGCTGGCCATACATTTTCTTTCTCACTAGCAGCTGTAATTTTAAAAAGCTTCCACCCACACAAACATCAATCAGCCACACTATACTCTGCAAGTCAACTACATCATACAACACATTCATCATATTTCTTACATACTCAAGTTCTTCCATTTGCGTGCACAAAAATAGTAGTGTTTAGGCTGATCATATTCACCATTACAAATTGCAAGAATATTGCGGGAAAAGTCAGAGTCCATGCTCCATCCAGTAACCATTAACAGCACCATTTTCTCACAGATTCCCAACATCTGATCTTTGCTATCCCCAGAAGAACTTGACAACTATTTTTACCTCCTCAGAGAAATAAAAGTACATTGAATTGTAAATAGCATTTTGCATAGTATTATGCTTTCACGAATTTATACACATTGTACACACATATTATTGCAAAATATCGCTAATTTAAAACAGCAGATTTTTAGTTTCTCGAAAGAAATCCAACTTGGAAAAAAAAAGTTTAATTTCTGCTACAGAATACCTTGTTTAGAAAAAGCATCTATTTTCCAACAGCATTTAGGGAAGAATGCCTTTAATTCTTCTGCCAAGCAAAGTCTGATGAAAAAAACTATTAATCCATAACTATGTAAAAGCAAAATTATGTTCACTATCTTCCCTGAACACACCATATTTGCAGATTTTCCACTCTCCAACTGGCATTCTGATGCCCTGATACTACAATTCAATTTTGCTCCTGTATCTCACATATCTCTATTTGTTCACAAAGTTTAATAACTTTGAACTTAAGATGAAGAACTTAAGATGAAGAATAGATGAAGACATGATGAATGTCATGGATTAGTAAGAACAGAAAGCTAAGCTGTAAGAACTTTACTCAGGCCATAATGCCTTTAATTGATCTTGTTTATTTATACAGTGAAAGCTGGTAGGCACATGACAAACTCCAATTACCCTCAAATAATAACTGCAGCCAGCATACCACAAAATTACTAGAGTCCCCTTCATACCACTTGTAACATCTCCATTCCATACAGGGGAAAAAAAACACAGTGAATTCATCAAGACGCCCTCAATATCATCCCTTTCCAGATAAAGCTGGAATGCAACTTCAAAGCTCTCAAAAACCTAATTAAGCACTGCTCCCCACCCACAGCACACTTGTTTATCACATTTGTGAGAATCCACATTAGCGACTGTCCCTTTTCCATCATCACTGAATATCTAGCCAAGTGGGTTTAGTCCAGYGTCTTCCACGATAACTATGATAATTATGTTTAAGAAAGGTTATTCCCACTCAGTACACTCAGTATGTTTTTTTTGGCACCTGCAATGCTATGTCTTATCACTTCTCTTACAGTCTACTTTCTGATGCAGACAAAACCAAACCCAAACTTACACAATTACCCTGTCCCAGAAAACCTGGCCATTACCTTTAAGAGATTAAGTAAGAAAGATTCAAGTAAAGAAAGATACTTTTTTGACAATCAGATGCCTTTTCTTCCCTAAGAATAACCATGAGGYATTATGTTAGAACTGCAAGAACAATAGATCCAAGCAAAATGACTGCRGTCTGCAAAAGTGAGGTAGTGTCACTTCTACTACCTACTATTCTGGGCTGCAGATCGAAAAAAAGTAACACTGAAAGAAGACAAGCACTTCAGCTACAGGCTACAACAACTTCCAGTTTATGCCTAAAGTTTCACTTTAAGAATCAAGCAGAAACACACCGCTAAAAATCCTTCCCTCTAGTAAAATAACATCAAGAACTCTTGTTTAAGAATGCACCTTGTTCCGTGCACTTGTACTTTTGTATCTTTCTGCAATACACAGGTTACATTTTCTTTTGAATAATCTGCAAAAAGCTGYGGTAAAAACAAGTGATCTTCTTTAACTAGATTCTAAAGACAGCTTAAACCAAGTTGTGCTTTCCTCTATTATCCTGTAACACCTTATAAAGGAAATGAAAGAAAAGAAAGCAAAACAGTCTCTGTCAAGAGTATGAGACTTGTCTGAAGTACAGAAAACACATCTCTAAACACACCCTAAAATACAGGCAGATAGTCAAGAGTTTTTCTTGAGAAAAGACTACATTATGATCTTTGCTAGAAGTCTGGAGGAAAGGAGGACACTGCCCATTTGTGCATCAACACCCAGAGTGCCTTGTCATTTCAGGCATTTGACGGTGCTGATTTCAGTTTAGGCTGCTGTCTGAAACGGTTAAGCGGGACTGCTTTGAATTACATCTCTTTTGGACAGCTGTATGATGAGCAAGACTAGGGAAAGATGTAAAAAAAAAAAAAAAAAAAAGTACAGATACTTTAAGCAGAGCTATCAATCTACCCAGCCACCAGCAGTTTTAAAAAATAAAGGACCTATTTTATAAGCTTGTTGAGCCACACTGAAATCCTGAAGTAAGCCTCTTTTACCTGCTTGTCCAACAGCATCAACCTCTTGATATACAAGGCTCATATATCCATAGTGAGCCCCATGAGTGAATTAGCTATTTTAACAAAACTTCCATATTGTTAAAAATTATTTAATGGCTCTTTTTGTTAAAGTGTTAAAATGGAAAGAGATTACCTTTGATTAATAATCAGAATTTTAAAAGGACAAGGTAAAAGTGGCACCCTGTAAAGCAACAGCCGCTTTCCAAAGCCTGCAYTTTAGAACAGGCCAACAGCACTTGCCCACTCAGATTGCTGCTCTATACCAACTATAATTAAAGCAAGTATTTTATCTATCACAAATCAAAACAACTCACTGGTCCAGAATGACAACCATGCCAGTAATTATACAGGAAGAGATGGGGGCGGGAAAGGAAGGGAGAAGAGATAGTTCAGAGACCACAAGGGAGCCAAGAGAGGAGGAGAGTTGGGCTACAGGGACTGCTTTCCCTCCCCTACTTCGATCAGGGGAGTCAAATCTGCTACAGGGTCTGCCACGAGCTCTGCTTCCACTGTCTCCTGATTTTCATCTCCTACCTATCATTTCAAGCAACATCTAAGTATTATTCAGAAGCCTCCAATGTTTCAGCATAGGCCCAGCACACACAGGAGACATAATAATTCCATCATGTTGCTCAAAAAGGTGATAGCAGAGACACACTTTATATATATTAAAAATAAATTATCATAAATAGGTGTCTGCAAGTATTACATGCAAGTACAGAAAACCTAATGGATAGCTGTAAGCAACCAAGCATGCAGCTTACCGAGAAACATTTTTAGAAACTGTTTATGAGAAGAACGGCTGTTCCTTTCCTCCCCGTGACAATTTCACAAAACACAGGCATGAGGTGGCTGGCTAAACTACACCTTTGGGTTGGAAGGTCACTTGGTAAATCCGTTATTAAAAAAAGGTGCAAGTACTGTCTCTACTCCTGTAATCTAGTAACTTGTTTTCTGCTATTTTTTCAAGGTCAGATACAGCAAATCTTGCATTTGGTCCGAAGATCGTTTTGTTTTTACCCACACAGAAAACACTAAAATACAGCTTTAACGATAAACATTAACTCCCTACCAATTCCCAGCACAGAACTCCGCATCATCCCTCACAAGCATGACATCACATTATTCTATAGGGATTTAGTGAGAGCCCAGCCCAACTCTAGACGTTCTAAAGAGTTTTTAAAGCTATAGAAACTTCAACTTGCAAACAATGAGCAATGCTAGTCTCAATGTTTGCTAGCAAATTACTTAAAAAATAAACTGTAAAGAACTGTAACTGTGAGAAGCAGAACAGAGAYAAAAATGCAGAAGATTCTATTCAACTGCAATACAGAACAGAAATATTTTAAGTTCACTCCAAATTATCCTTCTTTCCGTTATTTGAGGTTTATTTCACTAGAAATAGCTGTAATTTAGCTTGGGAACTACTGAAAGAAACAAGATGCGGAAAAATGCATCATTTAATTATTTTTTTYYKKTTTTTTTTTCTTAAAGAGGGGAAAAAAATAAATGTTTGTGAACTTAATCCTGGATTTTAAACAGAAAATACACCATCTCAATTCATGGCTACTCACTAACGGAATGAGATCGTTTGTTCTAGTTAAATTTTCCAGCTCCTACTTTGGTTCCAGCTTAGGCTGTGGAGTTTACCTGTATAACCTCTGTCAGAAAAGATCTATTCCATGATAACAACCTGTCAGCTGAAAGTGGCCCAAATGCCCTCATTTCACAAGCACTCTAGCTTTCTTGCAGCTAGAGGAATTCCACATGTTATTTGCAAAATCAGTGGAATTCAAATAGAATAAAGCAGCAGTGTTCAGCAGGTCATATTTAAAATGTCTCTTTATATATATATATATTTTAATGTCTTCTTTGAAATTCAGATATTTTGAAAAAAAAAGRTAGTAGTGGCTGCCTTAAGAAAGAGGATAACACAAGCAAATTCACAGAAAAATCAAGTGACAATTCCAAGCAGTGCAAGCAGCAACGCAGAACCAGAGGCGTTTCTATGCAGTGATTAAAAGTTAGCAGAGATAAAATCCAAACATCAGGAACAGGGGGCTTGTTTGCAGAACACCTGGCAGTCAACTACTGTACTTTATATTGCAGCTCCACTACATAGCTGAAAATGACAAGGCTCAATATGAGCAAGGCCTGAATTATCCTTGCTCCTGAACATCTAGATTGCCTTGTAAAAGCTCTTGTAAGATGACCTAGGTTAAAATGGACTTATGGACTTGTAGAAAAACAGACGGTCTTAGTTCATTCCACTTTACATGAAGTTATCAGCCGATGAATGATTTATAGATCATAAAGCGCCAGTCAGATGGGGCAACTCGCTGCTTTTCCCTTCCCAAGCCTCTCTGGCGATCCCCGCAGTTTGCGGGCCCCTGCACACCCCTCTGCGAGGGCTGCGTTTACTCGGGGCCCAAACTCACCGCGGGACCCGCCCGCCCCTCTCCGACCTCGCCCGCTGCCCGAGGGCGCCCCGGGGCCTGCCCGGGGGCCAGGCCCGGCCACGACGGCCCGAGCTGCGCCCCGAGCCTCCGGCCAGGGCCTTCGTGCAGGTTCCCGCACCCGGCAGCCCCCCGCCCGCCCCTCTCTCTCTGCCGCCCCGCGCCCGTCCCGTCCACGCTGCCCCTCGGCTCCCGCCTCCCCCGCGCCCATCCCTGCGGGATCCGAGCCCCCAGCCCGGCCTCCCCCCGCCTCCCTCCCGCCGTGGCCTCTCACCGCGATGACGACGGTGTCCTCGCCCTGAAACTTGGCGACGTACTTGTCGCCGCGGGTCACCTCGGACTCGTTGAGGGGCCTGAAGCGACACATCACTTTGATGTTGCACTCTGCCGGGTCCGCCATCTTAGGCCGCGGCCACCGCCTCCGGGGCGCTCAGCTCCGCTCCGCTCGGCCGCCGCCCACCGCTGCCTCCGCTCGGAGGGATCGCGCAAGGCGCCGTCGGGAGGCCCCGTGCCCGCCCAGGGAGAAGGGAGAAGGGACGGGCTCCTTCCCGGCCGCCGCCGCCTCCCGCGCTCACTCCCTCCCCAATATGGCAGCCATGGCGGCGCCCGCAGCCGGCGAGGCCCGACCCTCCCCGGCGCGTCGGCGGGGCCGCCAGCGGTGACGTCACCCTCTGCAGAGCCCAAGCCCCGCCCCCTCAGCTCCGAGGTGCCGCGCAGGCGCGGTCCTAGCTCCGAGACCGCGGGCGCTCTACTGCGCAGGCGCGAAACCGGCGGTTGGGGCAGTGAGAAAGACGCGCCGCGTGCGGACACCCGCCTTAGGCATGCGCGGCCATAAGGGGGCGGGGTCAGAAGGGGCGGGGCTTTGGGTGTGGCTGGGGGCGGGGCTCACGCCGTGGGGTGTGGGGCGCGTGTCTGAGGCGGCGGCCGCGTTCCCGCCATAAAGGCCGGTCCCGGTGCTACTCCCGTTGAGAGACATTGTCGGGATGTCGAGACAAAGCTTTTCTCCCTTTGTTTGGCAGAACTAAAGGGGAAATAAAAAGTATGAAATAAAAATTGTGAGGACCTGCAYGGTGCTTTGCCAGAGTGTTGCTTTGCACAGGTTAAGTGCAACTTAAATGCTCACCGGCAGAAACTTGCTGACTGTGCAAAGGTGAGAGATGTTGTCTGCAAGCAGCTCGGACCAGAGGCTCTCAGGAGACTTTCAAGGTTTTCCCTGCTTTCCTCCAGGTGTAACATGGACTTTCAGGATGGGCCAAAGGGCAAGTTTACAGCTCAGCTGAGCCAGCTTCCCGCAGACGTCACCGCGGTGCTGGAAACCTTTAACGTGGCCTTGAAATGAATTAAATATGAGGGAGTCAAATCAGTACCTTTTAGTAAAGACTCCAGATAGCAGACATTGCTTTAAAAGTATTCTCATTTTTCACTGGAAGAGGAAAAATGACTGTGAATGTTAACAGGGACCACCTGAAGTCAGCGGCCCCGTTTTGAGGCCCTTCATACGGCAGGGTTTCGAGGATGTGTTTTCACTTTGCATCGGTGGATGTTGTTTCAAAACGCCTCCTTGCTAATCCACATGGCAGCAAAGCTACGTGATCATCAAATTTAATCTGCAGCCTTTTGTTATTTCCTTACTGAAAAGAAAATAATACTTTTGCACATTGTTTGATGTTATGAGGCAAGCCCTAAGTCGTCTTAAATTGAGCTCGTGTTGTGACAAGTTTCTTTTTCTGCTGTAGTTAAACCTTCCGCAGGACTGTGCTGCCTTGATCAGAGCAGCAACACTTCTGTTCCCACCTGCCAGTGCACCCCAGCTGWTCGGTATCTATATGTACAGGCTATATTGGCTATATGCTCAGCCTCTAAAAGGGGCACTGCTGCCCCACAGCATCTAGCACGTGATGTAGGGGCTCCCATCCAGAGTCCTGTTTAACTGCTTTCGATACAACATTTTAAACATACTGATTGTTCTCCTCAAAAGGTGAGAGCAGTCTATTTTTATTGATTTCTATTTTAGAATTTGTGAATTTCTATCCCAGTCAGCAAGATATATTTTTATGTCTAGCTCAACTCCTGCTTGGGCTGTTCATGAGCTCGTGGGCAGGCGTGTGTTTGTACAGCTGCTGGACTCGAGTCCTTGCACACTTCCGGAGACAGGAGGTTATTATTTTTATGAAGGGGACATAAATTATTTACTACTTTTTCAATTAATTTTCTTTAACATATGAGGAAAAACAAGTCGTATCTGCTAGATCAACAACTTCATGATTATTACTCGCAGCTGAAGCACTGCTGAGATATCCTTTGCCCCAGTCTGTTTAGGAAACTTGTCATTATCATTATCCACAACCAAAGSGGATATATCATTAGCTACATTTGCTGACACATGGTACTCAGAGTAAGAACAAGCTGGTAAAGAAAAAAAAACTCAAAATGGTTCTTAAAAAAGCAAGTTCTTAGGCGTGATTATCTTTAAACTGTCCCAAAGAGCTTCCAGCTTCCAGAAAAAGAATTTTAATCAAAAATTATTTAATTTGAAGATTCTTTGATAGGGATTTCTTTGATTTCAAATTTTTGATTGGAAATTTATCTTACCTCTTCTGTWTTATGTAATTACCTGTCTATACCATACTCTTTCAGTCATTAAATTGGAAAGATTGTTTAAAAGCAATCTGTTATGGTAAGAAAATTTTATCAGTTTTCATTAAAAAAAGAATCTTCCCATCTGGTATTGCAGCTTAGTATAATAAATAATAAAGTATGCTAAATAATAAAGGAAATATATTTTCTGAAGAAATAACTCATTTGACAAACAAGTATGGCAAAGTTTCTCAGTAAAGACCAATGTCATTTATTAGAAGCAGCTTGTCTAACCAATTTATCTCTGCTAGTTCACTAACCGTRTTTCTTCTCATCTATGATCTATGCAGTAATCCTCTAAAAATTCTTTTACGAGTTGCAGTTCCTTTAGACCTCTGATATTTTCCTGGCATTAAGAGATCAGCATGTTAAGCAAAGGGAATTAGCAAACCTGACCCTTACGGTGAAACTCTACCTGGATAATGATGTATTCAACCATGGAAATTATTTTGGCAGAGTGACAGTGATCTTGATTTGATCTTAAAAGGAATATTGCATATTTGAATAAAAATTTAAAACAGGTGTTTGTGGGGAAGCAAATGAAAGCTGCTTCCTTCTGCCCTTTAAAGAATGAAGTCTGAGATTGTAGGTTCATCAGTTGATTGCAGTTGTTGAAATGCAACGTTCCTGATAAAAACACAAGTGCTTTTTTTGTTTTAATTTGCACAGCTGGAAAAATATAGCATGTGACTTTTGAGAGTCTAATGTGTATTKCAAGTCAAATTTGTTCTGAATTTGCAAATCCATTTGTAGGATAAATGAGTGATTAGTTTGCTTGATACAAGATTCTTTGCTGCTTGTAACATCCTCTGTCAATAAAGGCTCAAGAGAATTTATTAAGTCTGGTATCATTGCTTGACACTGGAAAAGCCTTCATTAAAAGTAGCAAGATTTTATTTCAGATAGATTATTCAAATACATTTTAAAGTCTGCCAAAAACAAACTGAGTGTGCTCAGTTAACTCACTTTGGTGAACTCAGTAACTAAACTGAGATTAACAGAAGGTTGAATGGGTGAAATTCAGTGACCTGAGATACTACCGGAGTCAAATCCTATCAAAATCTAGAGGTCTCATCCAGTTATGAAATGAGGAAATAAGCTTAGTTTTGCCTCAGCAAACAATATGATGTTGGAATGAATTTCCTGTCTCAGTCAAGTTTAGGCCTTTGCGCGACCTGGCAGGATGAAACATGCAGTGAGGATGCAGCTGCTGATGCTCATCAACTTCTTCTCATAAATATGAGTCATTATAAAACAATAACCTGTTTTTACTTCACGCTGCGGCCGGCCGAGCTGCAGCCAGCGCCGTTGCGGGCGCCCCRAGGAGCCTTGGCCCCTGCGGGCCGTGGCCTCAGGCGCAGCTCCCCCGCTCCGCCATTTCGCGGGGGTTTCAGCACACACGCACGTGCTGGCTTTAAAACGTGTCTTCACTTCTAAGTGTAGTTCTGGTCGGAGTGATGACCATACCTCCTTTTTTGCTTAGTAAATTTGAAACTTGTTCATACTGAAAATCATGTATGATCTATCAGCAAAAATTTATTAATTTCTGCTTACTAAGCTCTGCAGAAATARTGCTGGTGGAGAGGAATCCCAGCCCTCTTCTAGCTCTTTCATCCACAGAATTAACTAAATTATGCCATTTACTGCTGGTGACAGCAAGCAAGACACACAGAGCACAGCTGATTTGGAGAATCCAGTTTGAAACTGCGAGGCTAAAGCCCTTTTTAATGTCATATGCTGAAAAAAATTCCCTGTCAAGGGTAAACACCCCAGTCCTATTGGAAGGTGGCAGGAGAGAAACTGGGGGAGCTGTGCTTCAAAATGAGCTTTCTAGATTGTCTTAAGCTCCCGCTGACCTCACGTAGACTTGTCAGCCTGTCTTCCCGTAAATGGCTGTGTGCCCTGAATGCAGAAAAACAGAAGAGTCTTCATTAGCTGGAGAGCTGCCACGAGCGCAGGGTGCGGCGTCTGCCATCGTGTTCTTCATACCCTTTTCTCCATCTCTTTRGAGTTTTATTTTCGCTAAGCTCGTTGATCACATTCTCCAAAAGATCCGGTGAGGAGGTTTCGTTTCTTTTTAAAATCTTGGGTGGAACTCGTCCTTTCTTGCCTGGATTCTGCCAGACCTTGTGACCTTGAGTCGCAAGGTGGGAAGCAGCAGCTCTGGGTCGTTACTCAGCAGTTGTGGCTCCACAGTGCTGAGCTGGCACTCTAAGGAGCTGAGAAGAGACAGGCAGGTACTCAGATGGGGCAGGTACTAAYCTCTTTCTGGCAACATCTGAAAAGCCTTTTCATCCTAAGTAAACTTCAGTCACGTCCATATTTCATTCTGGTGAATAGCACTGATGTAGCTCTGCGCTGCCTCTCCAGCCCTCTCATGGTTTCCCTTGATGCCCTGTTGTCTCGCTTTCCCAATGCCCAGCAGGTACCTCAGCTAGTTCAAAAGCAGCAAAGCTCCTGCTATGGCCTTTCTTGCCCCTTGCTCTAATCACATTTAGTCTTCATCGAGAATTGTCCTTATTTCAAGATCACTGGCTCAGAGCTTTGCCTGACATTGTCACCATTCGTTCAACTTTCTTGTCTCCTCCATTCATGTCTTTCTCATTCTGTCTTCTCTGCCGGTCATGCCAGGGTAGTTTTTCCTTTTCTAACAGAGGTGCCACAGTGCTTTATACTATATTCCTCCAGCTATATAATATTCCTTCAGCTATACTATGTTCCTCCTCTTGTGTGGCCTGTAGTCTCTCTTACCTGCTCTATCTCTAGACAGTCCTGAGTCAGCAGTAGAGTCAGTGTGCGTGGACATCATGTTGTGTCAGGTGGCAGCCCGCTCCAAAACAAGGTGGTTACGCTGTGAACTTCATTTGTATAAAGACCATCCTGTTTTTCTCCTTCCAGTATTGATACCTTGTGCTCCTATTAACTCCCATAGAGATGGAACAGTATGGAGAAAAGCAGGACTTTTTGTTTGTTTGTTTGGAAA